CTCAAATCTGACCTGGCTTGCTTATGTAGTCTTATTTTGCGATTAGAGTTTAAAAAAAAAAAGTTTGCTCTCCTTTAAATTGCTTTTAGAATGTATTTAGTGCTTGGAAAAGATGCCAGATCAGCAGGCCTAGAGAAATAAGTCCTCTATTAATACACAAAGATAGGCAGTGCCATTACAATATCTGTATGAAGCCCCACCACATTGCTTCTACTGCCTGAACAAAAATGGACAAATTCCAGAGTGCCTTTTGGCTAGCTAAGAATTTCATCCAGATTATAAATGGAAGAGAAGGTGTATTTTCAGTGTAGTAGCTACTAGGGCTGTCAAACGATTAAAAAAATTAATCACGCAATTAATCATGCTGTTAAACAGTAACAGAATACCATTTATTTAAATATTTTTGGATGTTTTCTGCATTTTCAATTACATTGATTTCAATTACAATACAGAATACAAAATGTACAGTGCTCACTTTATATTTATTTTATTAAATATTTGCACTGTAAAAAAAGAAATAGTATTTTTCAATTCACCTAATACAAATACTGAAGTGCAATCTCTTTATCATGAATGTTAAACCTACAAATGTAGAATTATATACAAAAAAATAACTGCATTCAAAAATAAAACAATGTAAAACTTAAAGGCCTACAAGTCCATTCAGTCCTACTTGTTCAGCCAATCGCTCAGACAAACAAGTTTGTTTACATTTACAGGAGAGAATGCTGCCCGCTTCTTGTTTACAATGTCACCTGAAAGTGAGAACAGACGTTTGCATGGCATTGTTGTAGCTGGCGTCGCAAGGCATTTACGTGCCAAACGTACTAAAGATTCATATGTCCTTTCATGCTTCTACCACCTTTCCAGAGGACATTCATCCATGCTGATGATGGATTCTGCTCGATAATGATCCAAAGCAGTGTGGACCGACGCATGTTCATTTTCATCACCTGAGTCAGATGCCACAAACAGAAGGTTGATTTTCTTTTTTGGTGGTTCACGTTCTGTAGTTTCTGCATCAGTGTTGCTCTTTTAAGACTTCTGAAAGCATGCGCCACATCTCATCCCTCAGATTTTGGAAGGCACTTCAGATTCTTAAACCTTGGGTCAAGTGTTGTAGCTATCTTTAGAAATCTGATATTGGAACCTTCTTGTGTTTTGCCAAATCTGCAGTGAAAGTGTTCTTAAAATGAACATGTGCTGGGTTGTCATCCAAGAGCACCATAACACAAAATATATGGCAGAATACGGGTAAAACCATGAACCAGGAGACATACGGTTCTCCTCCAAGGAGTTCAGTCACAAATTTCTTTATTTATTTATTTTTAAATAAGTATCATTAGCACGGAAGCATGTCCTCTGGAATGGTGGTCGAAGCACAAAGAGGCACATGAATATTTAGCATATCTGCCATGTAAATACCTTGCAATGCCAGCTACAACAGTGCCATGTGAATGACTGTTCTCACTTTCAGATGACATTGTAAATAAGAAGCGGGCAGCATTATCTCCCATAAACATAAACAAACTTGTTTCTCTTAGTCCTATTTCTTGTTCGACCAATCACTGAGTGGACTTTTAGGTGCTAAAGTTTTACATTGTTTTGTTTTTGAGTGCAGTTATATAACAACAAAAAATTACATTTGTAAGCTGCACTTTCATAACAAAGATTGCATTACAGTACTTGTATGAAGTGAACTGAAATACTATCTCTTGTCATTTTTACAGTGCAAATATTTGTAATCAAAAGTAATAAAGTGAGCAATGTACACTTTGTATTCTGTGTTGTAACTGAAATTAATATATTTGAAAATGTAGAAAAAGTTCCAAAAATATTTAATAAATTTCAATTGGTATTCTATTGTTTAACAGTGCGATTAATCATGATTTTTTAAAATTGCGATTAATTTTTTTAATCACATGAGTTGACTGTGATTAATTGACAGCCCTAGTAGCTACCAATCCTATCTCTTTGAAACTAAAAAAGTTGTGAACCACAAAAAATATTTTGTGCTCCCCTTCTGGCTGTACAATTAATTACTGCTATTATGTTAATGCACAGAAAAGTGTTCGGGCACTGAAAGGAATTATGAAAAGTGCATTTTCTCTCTATTCAGAGCACAGGGAAGAGAACAAGACTGGCAAGGAGTATTTTGATTCAAGCTTTTTAAAAAGTATTAGAGTGTGGAAATGCAAACAAGTTAAGCATTTTAATATATCCAACACTATCACTTTAACATAAGAAATTTAAACATATGACCCCTCCAAAAAGGGTGTTATGGAGGCAACCTGGGCCTAGCGATTAGGGCAATGTCCAGAGAATCAGGAGATCTATTATTCCCAGTTTTGACACTTACAGGGTATGACCTAGAGGAAACCAAGGAATGAGATGAAGTGACTTGTCCCTGTAAAATAGGGATAATGACACTTGCTATTCTTTGTAAAACTGAGATTTAGGGATAAAAAATACCAGGAGAGCTAAGTATTATTGTTGATCAACATTTAAAATCAAAATTTTGCCTAGCGTTTTTATTTAAAGGTGCCAATGAACATTGAAGATTGGTGACAAAAAAAAAGAAGATTTCTTCCATCCTTTTCTCACGAAAAAAAAATTAAATGGATTAAAAGTACATTTTGTGTTAAAAAAATAAAATAAAAAGACTGAGCCAAGCGTGACAGGTTGGACCCTCTGTCCAGGATGCCACCTGATGTGCTGGGGTTCCACTGAGCCCGCCGTTCCACCAGCCTGGGCTTCCTCACTCTGTCCTTGCTATGCCAGGCCCTCAAGCCTTCTCTAGCACAAATACAGGTAAGGCCACACCCAGCTGCAGACAGACTACGAGCAGCTCTGTGTGGGAGGATTCAGTTCAGGACTTTACCCAGCACTCACGTGCACACCTCCTTTGGGGTGTAAACCCAAAATTATACTGTCTTGTTCTGTATAGAGATATCTGTACAGCATAAGCTCATAAAAATTGCCCCCCTGCCTCAATGTGGAGGGAGATATGTACAGCTCCCCCCCCCCCAGATATGAATTGCACAAACTGGGTTTTAAAACAAACAAATAAATTTATTTACTATAAAAGGTAAATTTTAAGTGATAGCAAACAGAACAAAGCAGATTACTGAGCAAATAAAAACACACAACCTAAGCTTAATTCACAAAAGAAACAGGTACAAAATGTAATTTTTCATCCTACATGTTGTTTTTGGCAGGTAACAGAATTTCTGCAGCTTAGAGTGCCAGTTATTTCTCTTTACAGACTAGACCCCTGTCTCAGCCTGGACTCAGCCCTTGCCTTTCCCCAGTTTAGTTTCTTTGTCTCTTCAGGTGCTTTCAGCAGTCTTCCTCCTTGGGCCGCGAAGCAATGGAGAAGAGCCCTGACTGACTCACTTCCCATCCTTAAGTAGGATTTACATAGGACAAAAATCCTTTTTTCCAGTGGAAAAATATCAGCAGTATCCAAAATGGTACTTTGGTGACATCATCAGATGACCCTGCAGTGTCAAAGCAACATCTCAGGAAGATGGGAGATTAGTATCTTCAAAGTTCTATTGTCCTTCTTAAATGGCTCATCCAGGCTGATTGCCTACTGTCTGGTGGGCGTTCCCCCAAGTACTCACACAGTTGTAATTGTTACATAGTCAATATTCCTAACTTCAGATACAGAAATGATGCATCTATACAAATTGGATAATCACATTCAGCAAATCATAACCTTTCAAATGATATATTTTATGCAAGATGGGTCATGTAAGGTATCTTAGTTATGCCATATTCATATCATAATATTTCTAGGAAGAATATGAGGTATAGCATCACACCAAGATCTTGTATATTTTGAGCCTAAAATTATTTACTGCACATTTATATAAAAATTAAACATATTGGAAATCCCTACATTATACTGAGTACTCCGGCTGACTGGTTTGAGCAATCCAAGAGAAAAAGATTTCAGTAAAATTAGGTAACTCAACAGAATTTGGGCCATAATGGATCAAAAGTTCTTTCCTATTTTGACACTGAAAGCCAGTTATTTTCCTGCCAGCAATCAATAGTTCCAAACTTCGCGTAACTCATAGAAAGCAAATAAATATTACTTTAAATATAGATTGTGGCATAAAGTTCGCTTGTCATATAACATTCCAAATAAGTATGATTACAACATAGGCCTGGGGGATTGCCCTGGAGGCATCATCAAATTGACACACCTGCCTTTTGCTATCAACATGGATAGAGAAAACGGCCGAAATGGATTGGACATATTAATTCAATACAAGTCCTGGGATTCCTGACAATCCTATTTACTTTTAAAAATTCAGATGTGCACAAGATGCAGACAGAGCACCGTATGGATAATTACGTTTTTAGTTCTCAATTCCTTTGTACCATCAGAGCTATAATAATTTTCTTTTCAACATAAAAAGGGCAGAGACATATTAATACAAGTCTAAAATTATTTGTCCAATATTTGACTCCACAGATAGTAAACAGATCCATATATGTTCTTGTGCTTCTAGGAACGATATGCAACAGTTAGTAACTAACTGTTGGGTCAAGTGGAACCAATACATTACGCATAAATAAAATAACAGTAATACAATGCTAGTAGGCATGGTGGCGGAATGGTTCAGGTGCTCAGCTAAAATCCTAGAAGTTGTTGGTTGGAGTCTTGCTTCATCACCTCCTTGCTTCATCACCCAGCTGCAAATGGGTACCTGGATCCACTGGGTTAGGGAGTCAACTGTGGCATAGCTACATCACTCTCTTGCGTACTATTGGCTATGGAAACTGTGCTGAATGCAGCTCAGAGCAGACTGACTTTTTCCACTTAAAAGAGATGTAAACAACATCATGGAGTGTTGGCATTATACCAGCACAATTTGAAGCACTTGACTCTAATTTGAGACTAGGCATTATTGCCCAGTGTTAAAGTAAAAGTATCAAACTAAGGTTGAAAAGAAAAGCATTTTTGCTTTAACCACAATTATGATTACCTGTATGCATTTTTTGAAACTGGACGAGGATCAAACTTGAAGAAAAGTATGCACATGGGTAACGGCTGGTGAAGTCTTGCTTCTTCCGAAAGGGTTAGTAGAAGGTCATATTGCAACAACCTGTGAACAAAATAAATGCAATAAAGGAAATTACATTGCAATTTCCAGAAGCATAACCTTACATCCATTCTGGAGTTTAAAGTTCCTGCAGTTCTCATTAACAGCACTGCATATTGAAATCAACAGGATTTCAATGGCATGTTTGTCTTAATGGATGGTTTGTCTGCAAAATTCCTCACTATTGTCACTTCAAGTGTTGCTTAAATAGGAATTAAATTCAGAACTTTGGCAAAAAAACAAGTGACAGGAGAATATTGATATATTCTAGGAGCAGTACCTAGAGCACTAACTTTCCTGCCAAAACAGGGAAGACCAAGGTTTTATCTCAGAATTTTCTACTCGTTGCCAGTACAGTGCAACAGTGATGCTCTTTGGTCTGCACCAACAAATCTGGCAAGACATTCTTGTCAAGGTTTTTTCTTTCAAAAGCAAACTTAGAGAAGCACACTCATGTATACTGCAGAAGCAGCTGGGAAAAGTGTAATCAAAAGTGTTTGACGAGAAACTAAAAGCGCTATCTTTTCTGTAGAGCTACCTATTAAAAACTGGGGGGAAAAGAGGCGATGTAGTAGAGGGGGGAAATATCAGTGGCAACAGAGTATATATTTAATGGAGTGGGAACAGAAGTACATTTCGATGAACACTGTTTCCAGCATTTCCAGTAACTTTTAAAATTCTGACCAAGTTTAGAGGCATGACAAATGTTCTTTACAGATCAGATACTCACAAGGGCTTTCAAATATTTTCTACATTGCCCCAATGGAAACTTGTCTGGTAATAAAATTGCACCATGACCTTATTTTTTGTCACAGCTGAAACAAACAATTATTAGAACCCTATTAACTGAGCATGCTTTAGCCTGTTCCACTGCTATGGACAGCTTCCCCTGTGTGAAAGTTTTCAGAGTACAGAGATGGGGATGAATGAAATAAAAACCTAAACTCTGTAACCATTCTGAGTGATTAATTTATTTTGCCCTGGTGTGCAGTGACTGAAGTGAGGTGTACTAAAAATTAAATTTAAAGATTTTATAAATTCAAGAATATGGTTGAAGAAATAATTATTCTTTCATTTCCTGATACACATACTGATTTTAATTCAGTCTTTTCTTTTATAGCACATTGCTAAGCTCTCCCATGTTTTAAGTTTCAACAGAAGCAAGATTTTTCCACAACAATTCACACGATTTCACTTTTACCATCAAAAGCAGAGCTACAAGCACACCATTGATATAGATTTAAATTAGCAACCTGACACAGCTGCTGGCTTCTCCAAAGTCATAGTTCAGCATTACAACTGACCTGCTGTCACTATAATGGCACAACAAATTCAGCCTTCCAGTCACCAATATTCTACAAAGGACTCCTCTGCTGCTGCAGATTATTTAATCTGAAATAGAACCAACACAATGGACAGAACTGTGAGGGGAGGGAAAGAAAGACAGACAGAAAGAAATGCTGGGGGGAATAGTATTTTAATCTCTGCTCCTATACATAAAGTAATTACTCTTTCAAGCAGTGACTTGATAAAGTGCTGACTTTTAAGGCTCTATTAGATAAAGACTGAGATATTTTAGCTATATGGAATATATTTTCTCTGTTAAGATGGGATACCATAAACTAGTGACTAAGGGTACGTCCACACTACCCACCAGATTGGCGGGTAGCGATCTATCTATCGGGGATCGATTTATTGTGTCTCGTCTAGACACGATAAATTGATCCCCGAACGTGCTCCCCATCTACTCCGGAACTCCACCAGGGCAAGAGGCAGAAGCGAAGTCGACGGGGGAGCCGCGGCCGTTGATCCTGCGCCATGAGGACGGGAGGTAAGTCGATCTAAGATATGTCGACTTCAGCTATGCTATTCTCATAGCTGAAGTTGCGTATCTTAGATCGATCCCCCCCGTGTAAACCAGGCCTAAATTGCTGTCCAGTTGGCACTGTGGAAGAAAATAGTAAGTCATGCAGTAGATTCTCCACCTCAAAAATCAATGCAGAAATGGGTCACATATAGTGACGATGAAAAAAATCTTCAGTGTAAGGGAAAATAAGATGTAAAAATAGGACAACTGACCCAGTACTCAGGTGTTAAACAGAATGCATGTATAGAGGATCTTCTTTTAAAAGGTAGAGATTTGAAACATCATTGGACTCCAGCACTTCTAGGAACAGCAATTTTATTTTTTAATTTAAGAAAACAAACATGTCAAGAGAAGACACGTAAGACTGCAGACTGATGATATCCCATAGTAGTCAGTTCATTACAGTTGAAAGGGATACCTATGTCGTTAACTACTGCCCTATGCTGGGTGGAATAAGAATTGTTTGAACCTTGGAATTTATTGGTAACTATTAAGCTTACAGAGATTCTTCATTACCTGTCAGTTCTAGCCATGTATAACAGGGTAGCTGGCTCATTAAATGAAACTGGGCTCTGAGTGCCTGATCCAGTCCAGGTGCTCCCAGCTGGGTCAATTAAGAGGGCAGAGCAGCTGGACTGGATCAGGCACTCAGAGCCCAGTTTCATTTAATGAGCCAGCTGGGAGGCTATAAATGTTCAGTCAGGAGAAGGGCAGGAGAGGAGAACTGCCGGAGACAGAAGGTGGTTCCTAGGAGAAGGCTGAAGGCAGGAGAGCAGAAAGAGGTTTGCTGGCTGGCATCTCCAAGCCAGTGATCTAGGGCTGGAGAATTAGCAGAGGGAGATGCCTGCTGGCTCTAAGCCAGAGTCAAGCGCCAGAGAGAGTTGAAGGAAAGGGGAGTAGTGGAGGAACTTACCAGATGATGTCTCTGCTGGAGAGCTGGATGCTGAGGAACAGTGAGAGGACTGTAGGAATGAGGATGCTCCTCTGGCAAGGGTGCTCCCAGCAGAGAGATTATGGGAGTTCCCTCTAGGAAGAGCAGAGGGTCAACCAAGAAGGAAGGGCTGGGATGACTGTCCTGGAAGAGGGATGGAGGAAGACCGATAAGGAGCCTGTGACAGAAGACAATGAGGTATGGTGAGAACAAGAACTGAATGTACTGAGGTGATAGATATGGACTACGTTTTGGGATTTTTGTTACAAACTATTTGCACAAGGCTTTCATAATAAACAATGCCTCTCCTGGGGGCCAGTTTAATTAAGAGCCTGAAGTGGAGTCCTTTGGGTTACCCAAGAGGACAACTGAGGTGAAGGGCCACTTGCAAGGCTGTCCTGAGGGGATGCCTGGTAGGAGGCCACTTATTTACACCATGACACTCTCTTTCATGGCCCAGTCCAATACTCACTGGAAGGGGGAGGGGAAGAAGAAGAGAGGGACAAAAACATAACCCCATTGATGGAAGTGGGGATCAGGCCCTCAAGTTTTAGCCAGTAAAGGAGATACTAATTAGATCGCAAGCTCTTTGAGGGAAGGACTCAGTCTACCTGTCTGTGTGCCCAGTATCTAGAACAGTGGGGCCCTGATCCTGATTGGGCAGATATGTTCTTGTAATACAAATTGTTCCTCATTCTTGACCTGCTCCAGCACCTGGGTCTCTCAAGTCATTATGACTCACATAATTAGTCCATAAACTGAGACCAAGCATGGAGTTTTCAGCACAAAAGGAATATTTTAGCTGAAGTTATTACTGACTGAAGATTGAGTTTAGGATAGAAACCACCTTTCAACTCACTAGATATTATTACTGTAACACTATAATGAAAAACAGCCTAAGAACAGATTTACCATAGCTGACAGCTTTCTACCATTTCTTTCAACTGTTGTGCTCACAGACAATGCCATAATTTAATTTAACTGGCAGTCAGTCCTTGACAATACCTTGATTGAATATGATACTTAAAGTACAAGACAATGAATGGCAACTGTCCAGCCCCATGTTTATGCTGGGCAAAAAGTCTTCTCTTCCTTTTTTAAATTCCAAGGGGGAGGGTGGGCTGTCTGTGGGCAGAGATATTTATAGGATTGAATTTGGCTGGTTCAATCCTCTGGGGTTTTTTGTTTTGTTTTTAAAAATCGATTCTTCAAGGACCCACAGTTAACTCATAAGCTCTGTTAAAAGAGTGCCAGAAGTTTTTCTTCCTTTTTATTAAAAGAGTATAAGACAAGATTTCTGGTAATGGGAATCATGTATTCATGGACAACAGTAAACAGGAGTGCTATGCAATGCCAGAGTGTTTCAACAACAACTTTCCATTCCTGTCTTGTATCTAAAAGGGTCTTTGTTGTACTTCAGCTGCGTACTGCACTAGTACACGAGACACTCTGGATCTGAGCGTTTTTAACCAAAAATAACAAGACAAATACCAAATTTTAGGATGTTCACAACTGAGCCTTCCATAATTTAAACAGCAAGCTACCCTCGGTCAATTAAGGAACATTATTTACTGACTCCAAAAGAGAGCCTAGTCCATCCATCCTTAATAGAAAGATGTTTGCCACAACATAGGAAGTCAGTGAAGAGGAAATATAGGATTGAAAGGAATATGATGTCTTTGCTCTCCCAACTGTCATGCTAACTTCATACAGTCCAACTACCTCATTACAAGTATTCCTTCCACTATTCTCCCAAATGCCTTGTCTGCTTTATTTTCACAGACTGGAAAAAATATTCAGCAAAATGGACAAAAAGGGTGAACACAATCTTAAGATGTTTGTACACAGTATAAAAATATAAAGGTAAGAACATGAACAAAAACACACCCAAAAGTTTTAAAAATGAGAAGAGCTGGAAAGTTCAGCTTGCCCTGAGCAGGACTGAGCATTGTCCTCCCTGTTTTTGTGGACAAGTGTTACACTGTACAAGTGAGAGAACTTATTTGCACTTTGTGCACTTATTAAAACTTGCCAGGCCAGTTGAGAGATTTTGCAGTCTTTCAAGAGGCAAAGGATCTTAAAGATGTGTCCTTATTACCTAGGGTTACCATATTTCAACAAGCAAAAAAGAGGACGGGA